AAAATAGGTCAGAAAGCTTTAAAATTTTTAAAAGCAAGCTTGATTTAAAGAAATGGGAGTGCTCAACTTAGACTTAGTTATATTTGGTTCTCTTATATTTATTTATAATAGAATTAAATAGATAAAACCAGACATGCTCTTTTTAGCCAAAGGAACCGCTGTATTTCTTCCTCCTGATGAGAAGGATGTGAAAGATACAAGAAAAGAATAGGAAAAAAACTCTAAGAAAGGAGGAGTAAAATATTTTTTAGTTCATTTTTCTTTTTCCATCAATTTATTTATAACTTCGTTTAATTAAAAGACTAATTTGTTTGCATTTTTAAAAATAGAAAGTTCCTTTAATGCCAATTAAGATGATTAAAGCTACTTATGATTTCTTCAGCAAATACAAATTCAGTGTTGAACTCGATATCGTAATTATGCTCTTAATATGCTTAGTTGGATAAATTACTATTTCTGAAATATTGAGAATGACTATCTTAAAGAAACTAGAAATTGAAAAAAATGATTTGAACTTCGGATTTGCTTTGGGATTAAGTATATTATTGCTTACTATAGCTTATCTTTGCAAATCTGTTAAAATTGCAGGTTGGAAGAGTACAGATGTTAAGACAGCTTTCTGGATTGCTGTTTTAACTTGTTTGGTTGTACTTGCTGTTTTCATCGGAATTAAGGATGTAATTCCTGTTGATTTTAACAAAGCCTACTTGAGCCAAAGCAAACATTTAGATTTTGTTTTATCACCTGAAACATAAACCACAGGAGCTGTTTAAAACTCTCAACTCAGTATTTTAATTTTTAGACTAGGTTGTGTCTTCTTAATTGGTGTAATAACTTTTTCTATAAGCCCTACAATCATACGTTTCACTAATTGCTACTCTTGGAATCTTTCATAGTAAGCAGAGTTGTTACAAAAAGAAGAAGAAAAAGCTGAAAAGGAAGCAGAGTTAAAAAATTCTAAAAAGAATGATAATCCTTTTGAAAATGTTATTGAAGATAGAGAAGAAAATCTTGAACAAGGAGTTCAAAAGTAATCAAATCTCACTTTATAAGATCACAAAAAAAATATGACTATCTTCAATATCTCACTTGTAATAAATTTGATTACAGTCGTACTTTGGATTACTCCAGTAATTGATGCTCTCGAAAGCAATTTTGGAAAAGAGTTTACTTAATATCTTCCTCTCATTCGTTATTTATTGATTTTTGTTTAAACAGGATTGCTTCTCCTTACCATTAAGTATTAAGTTTAAGTATTTATGTTCAAAAGTTTTTACTACCTTAAGACTCTAAGCACTGACAGTAGTGAAATTAACTATTAGGCTGTTAAGGTAAAAACTTCTGCATACATTTAGAGTTTAATTTATGTAACATTCTAAATATTTGTTACTATAATAATTCCTGCTGTTCTCTCTGGTCTTTTATTGTATAAAGTTTACATTTGTCCTAACAACAACATACCTACCTAGTCTGCTGAAACACAATAAGCTCAAGATTAGGCATAAGCTGATTCTGGCGATTTTGTTTCAATTCATACAGCTAATATGAAAAAAGTCTATGGAAATATCAAAGAGTATAGCTTATTTAACAACTATTTTATTGAAACGATTCTTACATTCTTCCTTTTTAATATTTAATTAATTTAATATGCATTAAAAATTATTTTCATTATTGTTTCAAGATAAAATAAAGGAGTCTGAGCTTTTTATTAGTCTTCTTAATTTAGTATATATTCTTGTTTATTATATATTGCAACTAAATTTATATTCAGAATACCATATTATTTTTTTATTTTCAAATTTAAATATTTATTTTAAATATCTTATTTTATTTTATTTAATTTTCATTAAAATTAGTTTTTCAAAATTGTTCTTTCATATTACAAAGAAAGTATTGATTTATTTCAAAAGATTTCTTAAGTTGAAAATTAATAATTTCAAGAGATATCTAAAGTTGAATTTTTACAAAAAAAAAAAAAATGAAAATTTTAAAGTATGGAGGGAGATAAATAGATTTGTATTACATTTAATCATTGAACTTTTGTGAAAGTTAATTACAACTATTTTTTACACTAAAACTTGAGGTGAGATGACAATAAATTAGGAATTATACTGTTTAAAAATCTTATCCTATTTTTTGTTTGTTTAAATTAATCATTTATTTCATTTATTCAAAGTTTAAAATGATTCATCTAAAGGTATCCCTTCAGTGTTTATTTTAAAATTTATTTTATTCATATTTTCATTCTAACTTGAACACATTTCATTAAACTTATTTCAAAGAAATTTCATTTTTTTCAAGAAAATGAGTTTTGAAAAGTTTAAATAATAACTAACTCGAAATAGTAGCTCTTTTCAATAAAACTAATAAAATATTTATTAATCAAAGTTAATTTAAAAAATTTACTTTTCTTAACTTTTTTGTTAATTTCTCCTTCAAATATTTTTGAACTTTATAATTTTAAGCTTACTTATTTTATTAATTTATTTAACTTTTTTAGTAGAGTATATTAGCTGATAACGATATAACAGTTTTTTACATATTTATATACATAAATATTTATATCCTCATTTAATTCCCTTAGAAAAGAATAAATTAATTTTTATGATGCTGATAATTTTATTAGCGTAAACAGAAAAAGACGTAATGACATTTAATAGCTTTTATTAGTATTTAAATCTTATAAGAGAAAATTATAAATTAATATACTAACTTAGCTGATATCAATCTGACTGAAAAAGTAATTAAAATTTTGCAAATTTACCACTAATTTTAAAAAGTAAGAGGTTCATTCATTAGTAAACAATATTTAAAGATAGAAGTAGAAAATGTAGTGTGCAGAGCTTTTTGAATCATTTGATATTATAGGTCCAAAATTAGAGCAATTAAATCAAATTTTATAAAAACTTCATATCAATGAGACAAGCTATTTTTAAGAAATGGGTCTTGTTAATTCTCAAACTCATTATAAACTTGGATTTTAACAAGGCTCCATTAGTGATTCTAATTAATACGATTGCTATTGCGAAAAAGAAGATTGTGGAATATGCAAATAAAATGTAGAGAGAAATTAATTTATTTTTCCAGACGGAGTAACTTATTCGGTATATATTTGTAATGGAGAAACCAAGATTCCTGATGAAATCAACAAGCGAATAAACAACAATTGCAAAATAGGTTTAAAAATGAAGTAAAACTTTCATTTGCGAAGAGAGGGTCTTTTTTTCTGCAATAATAAAAGAGACAATACAATTTTTGAGCGAAAGAATTATGATACAAGTGGGCTAGTTAATAAATTTAACTCAACTAAAAAGCTTTTTTTTGTTGGATAAAAGATTGAGAATTTTATTTATTATGAATATGACAATATTCAGATTAAGGATACATTTAACTAGTAGTATTATGCTAATGGGTCCTACAAAAAGATTAGAGTTTTCATATTCTTTGAAGTTGCATATGTGTTTTGCACAATCTTTCCAGTGTTGATGTTGTTTGAAGCTATTCTTTATAAGTTTCATCAGTATGTTTCTGATAAAAGATGTTATTTTATAAATTAAGACCTACTTCATTAAAAAGACTACATTTTTGTTAGGAACAATATATTTTAAAACCCCTAGTTAATTAAAGCTTTTTGCAGTTTAAAAACAATAAGACCAGATTAAGACTAATTCATACAATGCTGCCCAGATAGTGAGTTCTAAATTGGAAAAATTCACTTAAGCAATATAACAAATCCCCTTTCTAAATGGATTTATGTCAATATGTTCAAATACCTATCATTTGATTTGCTCATTAATATTTTAATAATAGCATTAACTGAACAAAAGCTATTTATTTGCAGTTAGAATATTACTCTACTCACATCTTTTATGATTGGGTTAGAATATTTATTAAAGCCTTTAGAATATTAAAGTTAGTTCATTTATTGCATACCTCAGTAATTTGTTACACAAAATTTAAAAGATATTCCTATTCCTATGGTATTTGGTATTCATTCTGGAATTGATAGATTCTTAAACTAAATTAAAATTAATCAACAATAAATATAAGATTTCTATGTGGTAGATCTTGACTTTAAAGTAATAATTTCTAGTGACTCAAACAAAAAAAGAATATCAGAATAAAGAGATTTTATCACTTAAGAGAATAGAGCCTAACTTAATAAATTATTTTTAACCTTATAACCTCATATGAAGGAATAAAGTTTCTTAAATAAATTATCTGGAATTATAAATAAAGATAAAAAATATTAAAAATAATGTGAAGAGTAGCTGAGCTAGTATACTCTCAAGTTTGAATTTACTCCAAAAGAGTATGAAACATCTATTTAAATTTTATAAATATTTTAGTAAATACTTTAAAATAATATAATTGAACCAAGTATTATAAGAAAGTAAAGCGCTTAGTTTAATAATAACTCAAAGTAATTCTTTACTTAAGTCAAAAATAGGTCAATCTCATATAATCCTGATGCTGCGTTTAATATTAATAATAATTTCTTTAAAACATTTAAAGAAACTTAAATTTATAAAAGTATTTAAAATGATAGTTCTTTTATTTAGCAATAAAACTATATCAGAGATTCATGGTAAAATAATAATAATAATTAATGAATTTACCTTATTTTTAATAAAAATACTCAATTAATCTGCTAAAACTTTAAGCCTAAAACATATATTTTAAAAATTTAATTTATATATTATTTTTTATGATTGAAAATGTGGATAAAATAGAATAATATCAATATATTTATTTATTTGTTTTAAACTTAAATATAAATTTTATTTTTTATATTGCTATAAAATAATTAATAATATTAAAAGAAATGAAATTACTTACTTACTTATTTGCTAAAAACATTTAAATTTTCTTCTAAAAGTTAATTTTTTGCAAATCAAATATTATTTTATTCTTAATAATTTATTTGCCAATTTTTAAAAATATTTTACCTTATGATAAAAATGCGAAAAATAGATTTAAATTTTTTAGTATTAAAATAAATTTATCTTTTTTGGTATTTATTTTTAAATTTAAATTTAATAAAAATAAATGCAAACTTTTTATTTCATTTTTTTCAATTTTATTTATTTATTGGAATTAAACTTCTTTT